TCCCTGATCTCCCTTTTATCCCCTACGTACCTAGAGAAGCCCTGCTGGTTGGCCTTGATGTCCCTGGCCAGGTTCAATTCTGTCAGGGCTTTGGCTTTCCTGACCTGATCTCTGACCTCTCGGACAACTTCCCTGTAATCCTCCCAGGCCACCTGTGTTGTGCTGTGTGGCTTTATTCATTCATTTGGGTATGGCAGGAGAAATAACCCTAAGGTTACACCCAAGTGTTGATTCCCCCTCCTCTAAGGGAAATGGAGGGTACAGATTTTCCCTGTCTCTGTTCTATCCACTTATGAGGAAGCTGGCACTTTCCAAACACTGCGGGCAAAGCCTTCCCTTGGAAACGCACTCTGTTCAACATCTGAGCAACCGGAGCCATCATTTTCAAGGCAGAGGTATGAATTTTGGCCATGCATTAATTCCCACAGGTATTAGCTGGCAGAGCGTGGCTAATTCTTCATGCGCTGAGGCAACAAATAAATAAAGAAATAGAAATCGGGGATCTGTGCTCTATGTGCAAAGGCTTTGCAGAAAGAAATAAATAAACCAATCCCTCAGGCCATCTCCAATTTCTAAGCTGAACAGAGATAAGCTAATTACAGTGTCACTCAACCACATTTACAGTGAAAGCCCTAACATCTGCAGCTCAGCGCTGACAGGCAGCGGGAAAGGCCCGGTCCTGGAGCAGCACGGAACGTTTCAGCCCAATTGCTCACAGGCCTCATGCCGGCTTGCCTGCGCACAGCTCCCCGCATCGAGAAATGCGTGTCAAGGACACCTCAGCATCTGCCCTGAGGCAGGAGGGAAAGCGCGTGCCAGAGCCCGCTGCAGGCAACGCGCGAAGGTAATGGGGCTCGGCCCTCCCTCTGCAGCAGGCAGGGGACGACAGCAAAACCCGCTCGCACGCCAAGAACGGGGACGCGTGCGAGGACAGGGAGTGAGGAGAGCGGGTTTTCAGGGAATGCTGGGGGCCTGAGCTGAGCTGCGAGATGCTGTCAGACCCTTTGTGACTGCTCAGTGGTTTCTACTGCTCCCATTTGAAACGTTTCAGCCTTTTTCTACGTTTCTAGAGTGGAGATAGACTGCTGAGCTGCTTTTCTCTTTGCTGTCGCTTGTCAAAGACAGCTTGCTGCTCTTCCCCCCGCTCGTGCCCTTGGTGATGACATCCCTTTTTTAGCACTTACTCCACAAAGTCCTCTTTGCATCGCTGTAGGAGGTCACACGCTTTCTGGATCTCTTGCTCGTTCAGAAGTACCAGCGTCCCAAGAGTCAGGTGAAGCTTTGCAGGGTTCTGGAACAGGCTGCTGCTGACCCCGTGATCCTACAAATCAGTCAATCGATCATATATAGGTGTCTTATCTCATTCACACACCCCCCCCTCCATCAGAGGGATAAATAATACAGAGAGCAGGTGCCAAGCCTCAAATCTTTTATCTCTGCGTCACTGCTCGGGTTGGTAGTGACTCCAAGCTGAGCCGAGGAACGAAAGTTCACAGGCTTTGCAAGCAGGCGAGCTCAGCGTCTCCCCACCACACGCATGCTCCCTGAGCTGCTGAACTTCAGCCTGGGAGCTCCTTACAGGAGGCTCTGACTTGGGACCCAGGAACAGCAGCACACACTGGTGTGGGATTTCTGGGAGACTCCCACAGCTGTCGACGCGGCAGCTGCCATCAGCAATGAACTCAACACAAGTCAGCACAGATTTAAAACTCAGTTAAGGCCGGTTTTTTGTGCAATAAAGCCAGAACCAGCTGCAGTGACAAGGTCTAAATGGCCTCTAAATCCTGTCTAAACACAGGCTGCACCTCACAACTCAAGCACAGCTAATACCAGCTCTGATAATTACATTTCTCTTGTTCCCATGTGCCCTATAGTTTGCCAAGATGAATTAAGTTTAAATTCCCTTTATAAGCAGAGTTACGTGTTGTTGCTGGAGAAGAACTGTTCCCAGGTGGAGCGGTGGTTACATTCAGCTTTAAAAAACATGCTCTTTTGTTCTACGATATTTATAAAAATACCTCAAGGATGGTTAACACACCCATATTAAAACAATTATTTCCACTTAGTGGTCATTTCCCATCAGCACATTAAATAACCTCCACTTCTTTTAACTCCAGGAGAAGCCAACACCGCTTGCCCGGCCACTGAAGCTTTTCTCTGGCTGAAAAACGCCCACCGACGGAGAATGACAGCTTCGAAGTTTGCAGCTGTACTTCCGAGTCTGAAATAAAACCTTTCAGCTGTTTAAACGCCGCGGTATCTCAGCCCGTCGAGAGTTTAATGCCCCACATCTCACTCAGCGTTTTTCACGTCTGATGACAACACCCATACTCTCCTTTGCAGCAGCGCCGAGGGGCTGGCCTAGAGATGAGCCAGCCTGCAACTCGGAGGGCGGGGGCTCGCTCCAGTCGCCGCTGGCTGGCAAAGCGTGGGGGTCTCCAGAGGAGAGAGAGCACGGACCTACCTTCCGCGGCCGCTGACTGCTTCAGTGCCCAGCGAAACCCCAAAGTGTACCATGCCAGGGGTGGCAAAGCAGGCTGCAAACCCCAGCACCGTGCAGCAGCCTGAGACAAGTGCAGACTATGTCAGGCCTATCAGGACCAGAGGGAAGAGGGATGTCTCCATCTCACTCCTCCTCCCTGTGGTAAAAGCCTTCCAGCTTCCTTTAACCCACACCACTGTTAACATGCGTGACAGGACACGATTCCTCTCCGTCAGCCTTTTTTCTCCAATGGTATCCGTAGCCAGAGCATATTTGGCCCACCAGAAAAGGAGAGCTCAGATAACAGAAACAGGGAGAAGGTCGGATTCGCCCCTGCCGCGGACAACCGGCCGATGTCACTCCCACAGCGCGCACAGATGACGTGCAGTACCCAGAAAGTGGTTGGCAGGTCAGAAAGCAGAAGCCCTACCCTCGTTTTCTGCCCCGGTACGATCTGTGCTGTTAACCAACCGACCCGCCCCAAAAGCAGTGTTTTCCCCTGAGCTTTCCAACACCCGCGCGTGGGCCGATAGCTGACAACGCAACGGCACGTCACCTCCACAGGCCACGCTGCTGCTGCTGGGGCAGCAGGGAAGAGCAGCGAGCAGGCCAAGACCTAGATCCTCTTCCTGGCTTACTCCCTAGTATTTCAGACAGCTCCGAAAAACCCTGCTTACACCCCTACTCTTTCACAGGCCGGCAGATCCCACTTTTCCCACGCATGAAATAGATGCTACGTCAGAGGTAGCACTCCCTGGAACAGGCAAGTTTCTGCGGGCGTCTTAGCGGCCCTGCATGGCTGGATGCTGCTCGCCGAGGGACTAAAAAGCTTGAAGCCGCTTACTCTAATCCCAGATTACAATACGCTATCAGCAACCGCCGTGTCGGCGCACAGGAAGCCGCCCTGTCCAGTGCGACCAGTCCTCTGCAACCTGACCAGCAGTGCCAGACAACAGCAACGCAGAGAAACACGCGTCCCTCACTACGGCTAAGGAAAAATCACATCCTCCTCTGGGGAGAACGAGCCCGGGAGACGCGACCCTGTCAACACTGTGATTCTGCGGCTTTACAAACGTCTTCCGAATACCGAAGGAACCCTCTCAAGACAAGCTACGACCACAAAAGCAGCAGTGAGGAGTGAGATTCAGCATCAGAGACAGGCGCCGGGATCCACGGGGATCTAAGTCACGGTCTCCGAGTGCCTCTCGGCAACAAGATCCTCCGATACCGGTTTCCTCCCCCGTGCAGCGGAAGGTGGGCACTCCGCACGGCACAGGCCGCAGTGGCTCGTGGCAAGCGGTGGCTCCCAGCCTTAGTGAAAGCAGGGCACCAGCTCAGGGAAAGCGAGGTGTCGCAGCAGGGCATCCCCGTAGTCTGCAGGGGAACCCAAAAGCAGCGTAGTCTGCAGGGGAACCCCGAAAGCTGCAACTCGTTGGCAGACACAAATACGTAAAAAAGGCTCTATTGTCTCTCTAAAAACGTGCTGTTCAAACTGGGGTTCTCTGAGGATGTCCTGAGAGGCGGGAGGGATACCCCTTATGCCCTAACCATACGTGACGACAGGCTGTTTCAGTTTATGCCTCTCCCTGACACTGCCCTGCCATGGTCAAAAAACCCGATTCATTTCCACTCAGCCTTAAAAAATAATGTTTTTCATAGAATCCTAAAATCATTTGGGTTGGAAGGGACCTTAAACCTCACCTAGTTCCAACCCCCCTGCCATAGGCAGGGACACCACGCCAGCTATATGCCCTCTCCCACCCTGATCCACAAACAAAGGATTGAGCCAGGAAAACAGCATTTCCTCAGAACTGACTGGAGAGCTGCAGGCTGAAAAAACCCTCCCATTTTCTGCCCTTTCCACTCCCAGACATAATATCCCATTAGCAATGTTTGATATTTACAGGTTGCCATATATTACAGCAGTGGTGTTTCTTTCCCCCGCTACACCCGCAGCCTGGTAAGACGGTAAATGCTGCGTCTGCACAGCTCTGAAAGACCCAACTGTGATTCTTCGCGGCAGTATTGCTGTACGCTCTCTTCCCTTTCCCACCTGCACACCCAGACGTTTCAGTCCTCTGCGCTCCCAACACCTACCCGACTGGGCAAGGAGAATTCCAAGCTCATCCGGACCTCCCACTGCACCACACCAGTAACAAGCCTGTCCAGCTGAGCCACCTCCCCACGGTTTTATTAAATTAGCCTCCAAAGAGTCTCCTCTGGGCCCTGCTTCCCTGTCTGGCTGCCCTGACCATACAGTAGCGTGACTGACACCCGAAGTATTCCGCATCTTAACACAGCATTCATCTTAAAAAAGGTCTTAAAGATGGAAAAAAGAAGTTAGAAAGCATATACCCACCACCATAACCCTCTGCTGTAAAATATAAATGAATGGTTGCCGTGGTAACCGCTTCGGCGAGAAACAGTCTCACTCACAACTGCTCAATGGCCAGAAGAAATCCTCACACGCGCACACCTGGTCCTTTCCCTTTCTCATCGTTATCACCGAGCTTCATTCAAAGACAGGACTTTACCTAATTCCGCAAGGTTTCGCGCCAGCAGACTGCAACAGGATGTGAAGCTGCTGCCACCGAAACCTATTCAGGTTTCTCCAAGCATCCTGAGAAATCCCGTTGCTTTGGGCAAATCTATAAGCTCTCTTATTGCTCTGTGAGGCACCGTTTTGAGTTACTGTTTTTCATTACCGATGTGCTTTCTAGCAGACCCTGCTGTGAGATAAAGTGGTATTAGAGTGGCATTACCGGCTGGCAGAGTGATTGAGAGACACGCGGGGCTGCAACACACTCCGTCAGCTAACAGGCAGCGGTGTATCTAGAAACCCTTTTATTAATAGCAGGAGAAGGAAGGGCAGAAAAACAAAGCACCGTATATTCCTAAGCTAACACATGCAACCCCCAAATACCGGCTACTGAGCGAATTCCACGTTTCAAACTCCAAATGGAAAACTACAGAGCTGATGTGAGCAGCGCCGGGAACAGCTCACGCCCTCCGGAGAGGAGGTGGTCTGGGCACACCCCTGACCAAGTCTGGGTGTCCGCAGCTTTCTAGGACAAGGAGCACGCAAAGGTCTGCAGGCAACACGCCTGAAAGGACTGACAGGCTGAGGGAGGTCAAGTGGAAGGACTGCAATGGCCCGAAATCCAGTCAGAAGGGGGGCAGGGGCAACAGCAGACTGAAAGTGGCGGTCTCAGCCTGGGGCCAACAGCTTGAAGAGCCACCCCCAGAGCCCTGTGGTGAAGTAACCAGCCCCACAGGAGCTGCCTCTCTCCCTGGAACTCTGCTGTGTGCCCCCACAAGGACCGTGTGTCCCCCGCAGAGGGAGCCAGCCTGCCACTGATGCCAGCCCGAGGTCTAACACCCTATCCAGCTAAGGCTTTCCTGGGCTGTTTCCTCTCTCTTGTCTTCAGGGCTTTCCCTTCATAAAGGTAAGCTTTACTTAAAGGCAGCTGCTGCTGGCTAATGGGGATAGACGACTGGGACAGCGATAGATCCTAGCCTGAGGAAAGGGTGCTCGTGGCCGGGCTCAGAAGTGCAAATCACGGGATCTACTGGGCAATTTCAGCTGCATTTAACAACGGGTGGAAACCTGAGTGACAGAAAACTCCTAAGATGCCACTAAAATAGGTGCAAGGGTGAAGAGGGACTTATACCAGAACTGCCAGGGAGGACACGGCTGCAAAGCCATCTCAGTTCTGCTCTTAGAGGTGAGACAATCGACGTGCAAGTGATCCCCAAAAACCTGAGCAAGAACTCCTGTCTCCCCAGACACCAGGCAATTCACACCCACAGCATGAAGACACAGGAAACCAAACTTCTGCAGCTGTGCTATCTGCAGGATTTTATTCTCCCCGTGGAAAGGCACAAGCAGAAGGGACAGACGGGAAGGTAATAACATCGGCCCGCGAAACCCTGCTGCCGGTTTGCAATCCAAAGAGGAAATCCTCTCCCTTGCCTAGAGATGTCCCCCCAAGCACGCAGAGGACACGGCAATTTAACAGCACCGTTCCCTCTCCTTAGCCTGGCCCCACGTGCCGACACACGGCTCCAGCCAAACCGGCACCACGCTAAAATAAACCGGGGAATGCACAGCTTTCCCCCCATTCTGTTCCTCATTTCCCTACGCCTAACTCACTCCTGCTGCTCTCGGTGTAAGATAGGAAGGCAAGGAAGAGGGATGGTCAGCACAGGACCTTGTGGGGAAGAAGGGACGTGATTAGATTTGGGGGATGGCGCGTGCTACCAAGTCATTTCTCGCTCAGCTCCGGTAGCGACACCCATCTGTCAGTAACCAAATGAAAAGTGGAACAGAAGTAGCAGCAAACTTGTGAATTCCCACCTGGTTTCATGGTTCTGTAGAAACCTAGAAAGGTCCACTTTGTTATTTAGTGGCTTTCCTATTAAAAACAAAACAGCCCACCAAAAAAAAACCCCACCAACCCTCTTTTGATTTTTAGATATCCTCCCACCTAGGAAAATCCCTAAGGAGAACAAAATATTTTACTAACCACTTACTAAGTAAGCCATTCCACTTTCCAGAAGATTTCACGACAGCCCTCAACAAATTCATGGCAGATCCACCAACTTAAGTAAAAGACCCGTTCAAAATCCATTCCTAGGAAGTAGAATGGAGTAAGGCCTCCAAGGTGAGCGCCAAAAAGCGATCTCAGGGAATGAAACGGCACTCTGCTGCGGAACTTCCACTCGACCTTCATTCTCACGTGAATCCTCACCTTGGAGCATTTCTCCAACACTTCCTCCTTGAACTGCAGGAACTTCTCCTGGACGGCGGGCTGGTTGAGAGCGAAGGACAGGAAGTGTGTGAAGGGCTGCTTCTTACGGAAGCTGTCCAGGAGAACGTCGATCCGTGTGCGGGCGGAGATGACGCCGCTGCGGTGCTGCCCTGTGATCACTACCAGGAAAAAAGGCAACACCCGTCTGCTTTCCGCGAAGCTACAGTGAGACCACCCCGACACCCACTCCCGCTCTAAACAGAGTCCTTGAATGGATCCTGACTCTACAGGGGATTTATCCCCGCACTTGAAAATACCAGTATTGGAGGATCTTGTGAAATCAGGAATATATCATGCAGGAGATGCCAGGAGGGAATTAGAAAAACTTGCACAACAGCATCCCTCTACTCTGAGCCCCAGGCACGCTGAGGGAGCGTCAGGAATTAAACCACGCACCGAGCAATCTCGCCAGATGCCTCGCTTGACTTAAAATGCCTCGCCACGGCTGTGCCTTCCTCGTTAAAGACAGGATGATGCCTTCAAAAGTATCCCTCTCCTCTCAGGAAAGTCAGCTCTGAGTGCCTAAAAACCAACAGCTAAGAGTCTCACTTCAGTGGCTCTTCAGATTTCTAGAGCATTATTTCAAGTTTTCAGAAAGGCAGTCAAAGTGGAAGAGAACAGAAAATCTATCAAAGATCAAGACGGCCTATATCGCCTGCGCGTGCACTTCAAGGCACCCAACGGAGAACACTCCGGCTTGAAAGGGAAGAATTTGCAAGGAGCAAAATTTCCTTGGCTTCCTATTATTACACTTTTTCAGCATCTCCTAACCTTCAAACAGTCCTTCACGATCCTCGGGAAGAAGTCAAGACCCACTTCTCGAGAAGTACTGCCACGTTCCTGTGCAGCACGACAGCTGGATTCCCGCCCCCTCCCCCCCGTCACTCATTCCTCAGCTCTGTCACAAACACCGCACCAGCGTGCGTAAGGGGCCTCCAGATACCCACTCGGGCAGAAACCAGCGTGGGCCAGGCCTCGTGAGCAACGCCTCCTTCCTTTTTAAGTCACTGGAAGCGACAAGGAGGAACAGAGGGTACAAGAGAGCCTGCTCTCGCTGTCGGGATCGAGGGACACCACCCGAGAGCCAGCAACGTCATCGGAACACCTCGCATATTAAAGCAGATGCATAAACACACAACACGGGGGGGTGGAGAGGTTGGAGGCGTATTACAGCTCGTTATTAACGTAAAGGTTATTTGTTTAAAACCAAAACAACAATAAAGCCCTCAACACGCTCAGGCCCGAAGTCCTCAAGCCAGACATTTGAGGCTGATAACTGACTTCAGTGAGACTATTCAAAGACTTAAAACCGAAATTTTTTTCCCCCAAAAAACCCCTTACACTGCTTTATAAGGATTTATAGACAGGAAAAATAGACTCCGGAGAACAGTGATTTTCCAAGGGCCATAAATTGATTCAGTGCCATGTCAGAACCAGGAGTTAAAGGAAAAACACTGCCTATGCCCCTCCCCGCTCCCATCGTGTCTGTGCAGGCGCCGATGAGAGAACACCCATTTGCGCACGTGAAAGCTCACCAATTTCTCCTTCCACTCCAGGCTTGGGAATGCTGATGGAGGTTCGAGTCTCTGTTTCTAGTCTCTTCTTGGTTTCTCCTTTCTTCCCAATGACATACCTGGAGGTGTAAAATTGTAAGAGTCACTCACGCTCCCCGTCACGCGTGGCCAGCCCGCAGACTGGCCGTGCCACAGGCAGCTGGGTCCCCCCCAAGTTCGATATTTCCCTGCTAGAGGGATGCACAGCCTCAGCACAGGACCCCGGCCAGGCACAGCGGCTTCGCACAGGACTCCACGTGCGACCAGCCTGGGCGCATGGGATGATGTTGAGCTGTGGGTCACAACTGGCTGAAGTTAAAGTCGGTCAGTTGGTCCGTGACAGCTCTGCCCAGCACATCCTTATTTGTCAGCTGGGTTATCCCTTTTTCCCGTTATCCCCGCTGACAAGGAACTAAGGGCTTTTTTTCTGCTTTCTGCTTTGCTCAAGGTAGTCATTTGCCAGCATCCAAATGCACAACAGAACACACTTCCTTCTCTCCATTTCATTAAAACTATTCAACCAATAAAACTGTCAGGAGTAAGTAGATAAAGCTTGGAACGCTGCAGGCTTCCCAGTAAACACCTGATTGGAGCCAACAGTCAATTCCAGCCGCGCATGCCGTCTCTCAAAGCTTTCGTAAACTCTCCCGCCAGGCTGCTTGCCCCACTTCTTCCCTTCTCCCACCCTCCCTGACGCTTTGATGTTCAAGGGAAGAGAAGCTCAGAAACCCTCCTGCCAGGAAGAAAGCACCGCCTGCTGTCCCTGTCACAGGGAAGGCTAGGAGTCAAGCGGGGCCCAACTGCACCAGAAAGGCATTGCTGATTTTCTCTTCCCCAACGCTAAAATCCACATCCACAAAAGGGAATACATGTTGGGGATCTGGCGCTCACCCCGACCTCAACAAAAAATATATCTCTCTTCTGTGCTCGACCACTTCCCCAGCCAGCGGCGACGCTAACGAACCAGAAAGGCACAGTCTCACTTGTACAAGGGGCTGGGAACCTCCAGTCTGCACCGGAAGCCTTTCTCAGTCTCTTCCACCGCAAAGGCATCACAGGGTTCGTCTGCGCAGTCAGCGGGGCCTACCAGAAAAAAAACACAACAGGCCTTGTACGACAGTCTGGCAGTGGTTTATGTCGGACAAGAGGCTCACAGCTGCCTCCTCTCAGTGTTAGATGCAGGAAGAAAAGACTCCTCTCTGCTGCAGCTAACTGCTTTTTATTTCACCCGACTCCCAGCTCCGGGAAACACAATGACTGCTTCTAAATCCGCCGGGCTGGGAGGCGTAGGAAAGCGGCAGTTACAGCCCAGGTTCTCTCTCAGCTGGAAGTTGTGCAACTACCCAGTGGGAACGGCCTCCTCTCCTGGCAGGGTGGAAGCCGCCAGCCCCTTCAGACACCTGAGCAGGAATTTAAAGTCGCAGAAGAATACAAGAGGTGAGGATAGGTTTGGTTCAAGGGCTCAGGAAGAGTGTTTTGGAAAACAGAACTTCCCACACCCTCAGCATGGAGGAAAAGATGCACCTTTCGTCCGCGGGCCGTTCAGTCCGGCCTCTTAGGACCAAATGTGATTTCCAGAAAGAGGCCATGGCTTCTATCTCCTCTCCAACACGTAAAGGGACAAATCCGTGTGGCAAGCAGCCTGTTAAAGATTTGTTCAATCCGCCGAAAGGCAGGGAGGATGGAGAAACAGGACACAACAGCCACCACCCTTGCCATTTGAAAAATAACAGCTGAGCTTTTCTGCGCCTACGACTCATGCAGAACTACAACAAACGTACAGGCAGAAAGGCAAAATATTCAGAACAGGAAGAATTTTGCCCCCCAAACAGGTTAACATCTTCCATTCCCATTTGAGAAATAACAGCTGAACTTTTCTGCGCCTACGACTCATACAGAACTACAACAAATGTACAGGCAGAAAGACAAAATACTCAGAACAGGAAGAATTTGGCCCCCCAAACAGGTTAACATCTTCCAGAAGGCACATTGTAAGAGGCCAGTTCTTCAAGGGGAGAACATTGTGAGGACAGAGGATCTTTAGCCAGCAGCTTCCACTCTTGCCGTACCTGCAAATAGTCACGCTACCGAAAAGAAAGGAGCCTGGGGAAAACTGATGTACAGAGCTCATTTGTTTTCCCTTTTCGCTGGAGACTTTTCAAGGTCAGCGTACAAACTGACCATCAGCAGCCCGCTCACCCAAACCCACGTTAGGTAACGGGGACTGCGTCCCCTCTCTGGTCAGCAGCATCATCAGGAATCAACGCAAAGTGTTTTTCTCCCTCTTGATCACCTCACTCCACCCCACGGGCAGGTCCTTGAGCACATAAAGACATCAGAGGGTCTTAGCCCAAGAGTTCCCTGGGTCCCCAGTGCCGACACTTTCACCTGTAGCACATCCTGGCGGCACCACGGTCACCCCTCGCGCAGCACTCTACCTGCACAGAAATCCTCCTCCTCCTCGTGCTGGTAGGCCTGCTCTTGAATGAGATTCTTCCTGTATATTCGGCCCCTGATGTTTATCAGGGTGGGTCGAAGAACGTCCATCCTGCTCCTCCTCCTAAGGCAACAATAAAGACAGCTTTGCAAACTTATGCCAAGGAAAGGCACAGCCAAGTAAACAGGGGAAATTTAAGCGATGCAAGATACATAATGAAGTAGCAGGTTTTTTGTCCCTGTAAGGAGGTAACCACCTGACCACCGCTCTCTCTGAAACTCACAGGTTTGAGCTAAAACTCACTGCAGCCACAGTCAACGCGTCATCTTAGTGCCGCTCAGGATTCCCAACAGCTTCACCTCGTTATTTCCCATAGCTGCCAACCAAAGAGACCTCAGCCTCTCGCAAGGAATCCCTTCCGACACCGAAATTGTTAATACTGGATATCCGTTTGCCTCAATGTATTTACAACTGAAATTTCTGTTACTCAGAAAGCAAGTTCTTCACCAACACATTCACCTTTGTCAGGTTCATCTGTCCACTACAGCAGAACCTAAGAGGAAAAAAAATGAAGAGCTGGCCTTTGAAGATGAATTGTGAAGATCACAGAATGGTTTGGGTTGGAAGGGACATTTAAAGGCCATCTCGTCCAACCCCCGACGTGTCTCAAGGGAATACAAAGAGGTGAATTCCAAAGAACGGCCCAAGAAAACGCTGCTTGATTGATACTAAGGGTTGGAACTAAACGATCTTTGAGGTCCCTTCCAACTCAAACCAGGCTGCGATTCTAACACCAGGAAAATGATTCATTGCTTACCCAGAAAATTCTCCCCGGGGCTACGTTTCTGGTTTTACTGGGTGGACAGACCAGATGAAAGGACGGAAAGCACTGCAGTGACAACGGCCAACAGCCCACTGCAGAAAACACAGCGCTGGGTTTACCGACAGGTGACCTCTTGGGGTGTGTTTACACGCAGACGGCTGGGATAATTAAGAGAAATTAACTGCAGGCATGAAATTAAAGCTCAGGAACCCTTTCACGTTTCCTCAATCAGAAATTAAGCAGCATTAAGTCTAGTGCAGAGGGCTGTGAGCTGACTGTGCTCCACACCGGCGGGATGTGAAGCACCGGTAGCCCAAAAATCCCCCCAAAAGTGATACGAGAGGAGTCGCTTTTTCTCTTTCAGGCTGCAGGGCCGGTACCACAAGCCCGCGCGGCGGAGGGGGCCCGGGAACGGGCCGCTGCGCTTTGACGCACGGCGGGGAAGCAGCGGGGTCTCCCCTCTATGGCCCGGGACGCAGCGGGGCCTCCCCTCCCGCGGCTCGGCCTCGCA